TTAAAAAAAACCGTAAATATTACTTAAAATTATTATTGTCCTAAAAATACTAAATTTTTCATTTTGGAGAATTTTAGCATTTTCAAATGGGATTTTTCATGAGTAAGTTATTCAAAGACGGTCAAAGGAGCGTTATTTGACAAAGGAAGGAACGTGAAACGACGGTAAATCGACAGTGACACGACGATGAAACGACAGCAAAACGACGGTGAAACGACTTTGGATTCACTCCTATTTTACTGTGTAACAAAAGTGCTTTGACTGTCAAATAACTATACATTTATGAACTTTTTACAATATATATTTATGAAATATATAAAATATATATGAAAAATGCAAGTGGGTACTCAATTGAAAGGTTTCGATGAATGTAACATCGGGATGAACTTATATCTTTGAAAACTTCAATAATCAAGAAATGACATTGTATCTTATCAACTAATGATATTTTTAAAGATATAAGCTCATCCTGATGTTACACTCATCGAGACCTTTCATTTGAGTACCCACATCAATTTTTCATATATCTTATATGTATGATATTTATAAAATATATGAAAAGTGCGTGGGTACTTAAGGTCAGGACTGAATTAGGAATCTAAACCATTCTGGAATCCACCGGAACACACGAAAAATTTCATTAGAATCGGTCCAACCGTTTAGGAGGAGTTTAGTGACAAACACATGCACCGAAGAAATATATATATAAAGATATGAAAAATATGAAAACATTCGTGCGCGTAGTCAAATGAAAGGTCTTGACTAGCTTAACTTTAGAATGAGCTTACACTTAACAAAATGTCAGTAATTGAGAAATGACGTTGTATTTTGTTCACTGATGATATTTTTAATTATGTAAGCTTATCTTGATGTTACACTTATCGAGACTTTTCATTCGAATACCTAGACTAATCTTCTATATATTTCACAAATATGATAAATATTGTATCTATAAAATCTTTTATTAAAAAGCTTATGCGACGTTTTAATTGTTATCGCTTTTCATTGCGACCTTTACAGTCTTACAATGTCTGAACCATCGTGTCGTAGATCTCATCTAAAAGAAAATCGAATTAATTCGGAAAAATATCAAAATGGTGAGGTGCCCCGAAGTAGGGGGTCCGAATACACCAAGAAGTATTTATGACTAATGTAATAAGCAGATTTTACTATCAAATAATTATGAAGACTCCATTCAGTCAAATAAAATAAAACGAATTAATTTTTACACCAAAATTAGTTAGTTTATCGACAGAAAACGACTGTTTGAATTATTTGAAATATTTGAACTATTCGAATTATTCGAATTATCCAAATTATTCGAACTATTCGAATATTCGATTCGAATTTCGAATCGAATAGTACTATTCGATTCGAACACTTGTAACGGGGTTTTTATTCCCGCCGTTCAATAGCAGCCTTAATTTATTAATTAGATGTTAACTATCAATACCATGAGATTATTATTATTAGATGTTAAATTTAGGACGCCACCAGGTTGTTATAACGGTGTCCTGGAAACCGTAAGAAACATGAGAGATAATCTACAGGGTAGAGAGAATTAGGAAATTATCTGGAAGTAAATAAAATTAATAATTCGTGGTTACCAATTATTTATTTTACAAAATCACTCTCACACGCACACTATAAATTTTATTGCCAAATTTCCATAACCAATTCCTTAATTAATACCCGTAAGACAGAGGGGAAACCGTACCATAATTCACGGGTACGAGGACCACATGACCTCCAATTATTTACCGATATTCTGAATTACCATTGACCAATGTTATAATAAACTTCTTATGTAGAGAGAAAACCATACCATGTATCAGAAGCTATTCATCCACGATCTCACTCTCTATCACTCATAACCCAACCAAAACTTATTGAAATTAATAATAAATTATCTAACCGAATTAACAAAATTTATCCAGTGACTATTTTCAATACAATAGAATATATGACGCCAGTAAACGTGACCTTGTAATTTTAGACGCGCAGTTAATACGTACTGCGTAATAACAAAACTATTTCACCACTTTCTTATAAAATTTTCCAATTAACGATCAATAATTTAATTTTTACTTAACCGAAAATTATCAATAATTAATTAAATTAATTTATTAAAATTGACTATAAAATGGCGCGTAATTATCTTAACACAAACTCCTGCCTCAAGGTTAACTAATATTTTCCGGGTGTCGGACCACAGAATTTTCTAGCAATTTTATTTTAACCAATAATTAATTTAATTTATAAAACCCAATTTAAAACAATTAAACATTGTCCAGAAGAGTAAATAAGACCGGGTGCTAACCACAGTCGAATTTTCGCCCACGAGACTTGACAATGTACCTTGTAATCGACGAACTGCTTCCCGCCAACTTACAGCCACGGCTTTGTTCTGCTGCCGCCTCGTCGTTACTCGTACTCTCGGGGATTTTGTACTGCTTTCCAACCGCAACAATATTTCCTAGACGTACCAATTGAATTAGTATAATGTTATTTATTAATTAGGAACAATTAATAAATATTAAACATCGCTTGCGTTCCAATTAAGTAAACGTGCGACTGGATATTTACCTGAATTTTCCAAGTGCGTCCGGAACGTTCGGTAGTACAACCTCTTCTGTCCGTTGTCACGCCGGTTGCAACTCGCTTGCACTCGGCTCCCGGCCCATCGTCCTTCTCCCCACTACCTAAAATGCCCGAAGATCGAGAGACGCGCCAGTGCTGTGTCGCACAATTATCGATAACTGGTGACTTATCGATGCAGGGTATATTTTACCCTGTTACACACTATTCGCACACCCCTAATTATTATTATTATTATCCTTTAAATTAAAATACATGAAAGTCTTGAAGTTAGTCAAAGGTTGAAACTCGCAAAAAAACGGGCCACGATTCCTTATTGGTCGAAAATAAGGTGCGCTATTTAAATTTCTAGTTATTTAATTATTATTGTTGTTTTAACTATTATTGCATACTACATGAAAATTATGTTGCTGTCACATGAAAATCAATTTTTTTCCGTGTATATATTATAGAAATTATTTCGAACTCACTCCGCACGAAAATTTTATCTTTATTTTATTTTGAGAACGATTCCCATAATGGTATAGGAATGATTCCTATAATATTCTCGGAATCCTTCCTATACCATTATGGGAATAGTTTCCATAATGATATAGAAACCATTACTATATCATTATGGGAATATTTCCCATAATATTATGGGAAAGGTTCCTATAATTGTATAGGAATCATTCCTATAATTATAGGAACCATTTCTATATCATTATGGGAACCATTCCCATCATTATGGGAAATGTTCCCATAATTCTGGGAAAATTTCCTATAATTATGGGAACAGTCCCCATAATTTATGGGAACAGTTCCTATAATTGCCTGGGAACTGTTCCCATAAAATTATGGGAATAGTTCCCATATTTTTCTTTCCGTGTAACTATTTTGAACCCTATATATTCATAAATGTTAGGAAGCTTTACTTTTGAAAAAGAGAATAATACGTCCGTTTTTATAACTTACAAGGAAAAATTCACAGGTTTCCGCCTCCGATTTTGATACCGCTGAAATATGTTATTCTACGTCAAATTCTAAGCTACACATATTTTTTTTATCGTTGGAAAAACATTTTTAAGGGGTATAACCAACCCCCAAAGATGACCCCCTTAGAGGGTCAATTCCAGGTTTCACATACTTGTTATTTTTATTTTAAATTCATAAATCTACTAAAAATATTTTATTCAATATTAATCTGAAATCGTTAACAATTTTATATGGGTGACAATAATTGGTAAAACAGTCTATCAATCATTGAAACTGGATCGATCTATAATCCGGAGTGATACGAATTGTAGCATTATCTAGTCTGATACTATTATAATATATCTTATTCCCAGATCAGATAAGATGAAAAAAATTATTTAACGGTGTAAATGGTCATACCTGTTTGACTTGGGCTATTGGTGAGCAAATCTTCATTCGAAAAATACAAAAAAAAACGGTGCTATTAAGCAAACAAAATGTCAGAAGATTTCCTATTCAAATGAAATCATAACATTGATAATTCAGATAATGATAATTCAGATACTCCAATCACCTTTACAGAATCTCTTTAAAGTTAAACTAGTCTAACAGTAATAGGAAACTTTAAGAGAAAAATTAGTCCAATCGAACTGGGAACATTAATCTCTATCTTATCCGACTACTGCTTTTGTATCAGTATCTCTATCTTAATTGAATTACTCATAAATTTTTAGTTAAATAGTTAGTTAGTTATGTTGTTTGTTTAACAAATATTATGAAGATAATGTTTAAAAATGCATCATTAGCAGAGCCTGGAAGTTGGGGCAAATTAACATATAAAACAAAAGAGAGCGAAACGATATTTTGCCCCAACTTCCAGGCTCTGATCATTAGAATCATTTCGTGTGCAGATAGCCACTTCGATTTTTTCGGTTGTTTATTGTAGTTTTGATACTATTTTTTTATTTATTCAGTCTGATAAAAATTTATCACGCGTCTTTTCCATTACATAGAACCTCCCCATCCACCTCATGGATTAGAAACTGCAATGATTGCTCCAAGAAGTATCAATGTTAAGTGGCAACACAAAGCTCAGGATACTAGTGAAGTTTCCAAATATATCCTTCAGTATAAAGAAGGAGAGGGAGGTATGTGGCAACAGCAAGAACTAATAGGACCTCCTTTGCCGTATGCTGCGTTAATAGATGATCTAAAGCCAGCTACAAAATACTTCATACGAATTATTGCCGAAGGACCTGCTGGTCAATCTGCTCCATCAACAGAGCTCATCGTCAAAACTGAACCTCAAAGACCTGCAGGACCACCTATTAATATCGCCGCTAGACCTATATCTTCTACCGAAATTATTGTATCATGGTCACCACCATTGCCAGAATTGCGCCATGGTGAAATTCAAGGTTTTAATATTGGGTTTAGAGAATCAAGGTAATAGAATAATATAATAAATCATAAACTCAAAATCAAAATAGAGCTATTTATTTATACTGATCAGTAGAATTCTTTAATTATGTATTCATGAGTATAAATCCATGTTTAAAAATAGTATATTACACCCATTGGGAAAGAAAATAAGGAAAGCCTCAGATCACATGTAATTGTTGGCCGAGGCAAAACCGAAGTCGACAAACATGTGATCTAAAGTTTTCTTTTTTACTCTGCAAGGGCTGTATACTATTTTTTTGTCCGACGAAAGTTGCCACTTTCTGCCCAGAGGACAAAAAAAGTAAAGTATTTCATTTTTTATTTGAAACTCAAATTCTTGCATAAATATGAAAATTCGTTTTTATCAGCGTATACGTTTGATAATAGAAGTGTGTAAAATGAGATTTATACGTTATTCAAGTTAATTATATCAAATTGTATAAAAAGCAATACTTTTATCGTAGTGGAGGTAACCCATCGTACAATTTTACGTCCGTATTTGGTGACGGTGGAGATGGAACGGGAGAGCTCCACTTAACAGCTTTAAAGCCATATACAAGATATACTATTGTCGTTCAAGCCTATAATCAAGTCGGTTCAGGACCATTATCTGAACCATTACCAACGCAAACATTAGAAGATGGTAGAAACTTATTATTTAATTAATTTATTTAATTTTAATCTCTAGGCTTTAAAAGCCGAATGTTATACAATTTTACGCCACTTACTTACTTATAACACTAAATGCTTAAATTATAATATGACACAAAAAGTTTTACACTAAAACTTATAAATTATTAATTAAATGATTTATTTTTAGAAACATAATTTTACTTTATTCATTTTAATTTTAGTGCCAAGTAAACCACCTGAAGATATTCGCTGTGCTTCATTGACATCACAATCGTTACAAATATCATGGAAATCACCTCCAGCTGCTTATACTAATGGAAATATTCAAGGGTATAAAGTTAGTTATGAACCAGTCTTGACAGATTCATGGATCAGTATAGATGAAATGGAAATTCGAAAAACTGCAAGTATGACAATGACATTAGCGGGATTAAGAAAATACACAAACTACAGTGTGCAAGTATTGGCATATACTAGAGTTGGCGAAGGTGTTCCTTCTAGAATAATGTACTGTCGTACAAAAGAAGATGGTAACTTAATAATCATTTTTTTCGATAAAAAAAATTTAAACTTCAATAAAATAAATATTTTTCTTACAGTACCAGGAAGTCCAGCAGATATTAAGGTCGTTGTAAGTTCACCACAAGCATTGTTTATATCATGGCTTCCTCCGCTAGAACCCAACGGTGATATCACTAAATATAATCTTTACTCAAGGTGACTACTAACAAATAACCTGGGAAAAAATCATCATGCAAGACCACGTGTTAATTTCATGCATGACCCTGCTTGAATATTTGCACAGACTTAAGAAAGCATGGCCATGCATGAGAAAGCACTTTCATCGTGCATGACCGGGCATGATTATGCCTGGAAAACAGAAAACCATAAAAAAAAATTAGGAATACGGTTGACCCTGAAGGCCATCCCTGCAACTTTCCGCCAATTCTATACCTAAACGCTTAAAATTGCACTTATGACGTTTTAGAGCTCTTCGAGCTCATAAATACAATTTGTGTATTATTTTGAGCTCTCCGAGCTCAAAAAAATAGCTTTTGTATGCTTTTGAGCTCTTCGAGCTCAAAAGTTTGATAGAAGTTTGATAAAACACTATTTTTTTTATTTTCAAATCGCAATAACTTTTGAATGAATGAACCGATTTTCACGCAATTGGCGGCATTCTACGCAGTTTTTTAAGCCTCATAAAGAATTTTTAAGTTTCAATTGGTTAAACTAGAAATTTCGGAGTACTTTCGAAAGAACACTTTTTTCGGTTTTTTTTCGTTCACGATATCTCTTGAACGAATCAACCGATTTTGACCGGATTGGCGGCAATCGACGTGGTTTTCTAAGGTTGAGAGCTGATTAGTTTTTGAAATCGATCGGTAAAGCCGTTTAAAAGTTATTCCAAAAAAACCACTTCTGAAAAAAATTTTTTTCCTATTTTTTTGGAGATTTCTCTAAATTTCTCAAAATCAATCGGTCCGAATCGGTTCAAATTTTCAGAAAATCTAAGTTTAGTGAAGCCCTTTCGAATGGCACTAACCGCGATGAAATCGGTTCAACCGTTCAAAAGTTATAAGAGGTTTACATACTTACACACACACACACACACACACACACACACACACACACACACACACACACACACACACACACACACACACACACACAACC